AGCTTTTTCCAAGATGATAGCCCCACAGCATCTATTGTTGCAACTGATGCAAGTAAATGCCCTGTAAATTGAGCAAAATGAGGGCTCTGCACACTCCTGCACAGGAATGCTCTTCAGGGTTCAGTCACTTGGTTTTAAGAATCTGCATGATTTTGTGATTTGAAATATAACTTTCTTAATACAATAAATGTTTAATTGCAAAAAAAATACATTTAGGTATCTAGAAGTGAGAAATGTAATCTATATAGCTCCTGAAGGCAGAAACACAAAGGCTTTATCATGTGGTCAGTGATATTAGATAATTTTAAGTACTCAAATAAGATCCTCTTAAACAGGCCAGAGTTCTGAATGTCCAGCAAGTTTTTGAAATTCAGTGACCTTTMAATGATATTGAATTGGAGATTCAATAAGTCCTTCAATAAATTAAGGAGTCTCATAATCACTACCCTTCACCTACATTACTAATATTATCCATAGCTGTATCCTGGGGCATGCTAAGTATTGCGCAAACATAAGGGAAAATCTGAATATATTTATMATTTCTCGAGCAATAAGAGATAAATCACTAGGAAAATGATACGTTAATTAATAGATTAATATACTCACTCCCAAGCTCAGTTTTAGGAGTACATTCCTGAGATGAAGAGTGACAGATTGCATCAATTTGTGCATCCAGACGATAACATCCACAATTGCTTAGACCACTCTAAAAAGACTGGTCTCCAAAACAACTCTGAGCACAGGCCCCACAAGCTGCCTGCCACCTCCCAGGCATTTTGCAGATAGGCCACTGTCAACTTCTCCTGTGCTGTAGTAACACACTGGGCACACCAGGCACACGCCAAGGTAGAATTCTCTACAAGTTCCATGTCAATGATGGCCTCACAAGAGCCCTCGGTACAAAGGAGGCATGCATTTTAAATCAATTCCACCCTTGACTACAAGGCAGCTTTTGGCAAAAACTTTGGTCTGATGCATTGATATGACCATTCCATGTACTGGGAGACTATTTTAGCTAATCAAATCAGGAATATGAATCAACAGACAGAATCACAAGTCTACACTACACACGAAATACCAAACAGAAGGAGAGCTTGTTTTCTGCTTTAACAATACAGAGACTAGCTGCTTGGGCAGGAATTAAATAGTACCAGCAAAATGYGTATTTATGCTTCTGTTTTTCTTTCAGAATTAGATTTTAGTAATAGGAATGTTAACAAACTAAAAATAAGAGGATTTGAAAACAAAAAACTCCCTTCTGTCTGTAATCGTCTTTCCTCTTCTACCATGATACTGGAACTAGGCTCAATACAAACCTGTAACACTGCATAAAGGAGAAGTTACAGTTGTTATTATAAAATAATTTAGATTACACTCCCATACTACACATACATTTGTAGAAAAATTATGTTAGTTTTATATTATCATTCTTTTCTTGTATTATTGTAAAGCAGAAAGAGAAGATTAGAAAGATGTGTTCTAGTACTTACTTGGGGTGCCAAGGGAAAAACTGATGTTCGTTTTAGTTTAAAAATTTAAGTTTCTATCGTGTCCAGTCTCGGTTTCTGATAACGTTTTTTAAAAATGTCTGACAGTACCTAATTTTCAGTCACTAAAGATGGCATCATAGAGCTTCACTGATATCAAAAATTTTACAAATTGGAGTCTATAAAAGCTTGATAGCAGCTCCAGACTTATCCAGTTATATTCTAGAACTCAACACCGTCAGTTACACCCAAATCTAATTCGACAACAATGATTAGCTCTATTTAGGAAGAGGAAACTGTATTTAGAGATAGCATTTGAAGCTTCCAAATGGTGTTTTACAAATACATACATTTTATGAATCGTCACAAATCTGTTCTTAAAAGGAAAAAGCTGGTTTTATTATCTAAGTTCTACTTTTCAATCTTAGTGAATGAAAGATGACCATTTCATTTTCCCTTAARCAGAGGACCATTTCATTTTCCCTCTTTTTTTTCTCCTGACACAACCTTGCCAAACACACAGGAACTAAACACATTTTGACACCTGCATTTTCTCTTTTAAATACTGGTATTTCAAACCACAAAACAGCCCCTCCCAGAGGAAATATATGCCATATACCTGATAGRTATGTTATACACTTGCTACATCATTATTTGAATATATGCACTTTTAACACTTAAAATAGAGGCAACTAGTGTTCCATAGCTTCAGAACATTCTTTGAAACTTTTTAATGTGTTCAAAACACAATAAAAGTACAACTTGTCACTGTGAAAGACAATCTGGGTTCTGCTATGGCATCATCATTATTGTAACAGAATAAAATATCTCACACCAGTCAGAAACAACCATTCCAACTTACAACAGTTCTCCAAAAAGAAATGAAGAATCTGGAAGGAACTTGACTAGTCTTGAGAGGAAGGATGGTGATCATGCTACATCACTCAAATGAAAAGGTGAAAGAAATTACTAGTTTGAGGGGAGTTACTATCACTATGTGTGAGGAAGGGGCTCCCGAATCACCTCCTTACTCTCCACACAAATCATATGCACATATATGAGAAAGCACTCTCTCCAGCATTTCTCTTACCYTACCATCTAGGTCCCTTGTTTCCTGTGACCACAGTTATGAAGTAGTCTCAGTTTCCCATCCCAGTAACATTATGTTACTGTCATGTTATGTCATGTGCAGCTGCAAAATGAGTAGCATAAAGTACCCATAGGGGAAGAAAAAAAATAAAAATAAACCTACCATAAAGACAGAGYATAAAAGAGAAATATACAGGAAGCATTTATATGGGAATCAGAAAGAACTGTGGGCAGACAGGCAGTGTGTAGTCTAACAATTAGCACAACAGGCCCACACTACAACATACATCAAAGATCATTTTTTCACTGAGACAGAGCAACAGAGCATTTGCCATTACAGACAAGGTAAAGCAGAAACAGGATGCTTTAAATAGCAGGTGGCTGCAAAGAATTGACAGTGTCAGACACCCCAAAGTGACAAGCGATCATTATATCAAATGGGCAGCAAACTCTGGTCACCTGGCATGTCTCCCAGCTCATGGTCTGGCTAGAGGAACCTATAAAAGGACAATATAAAGGAAGAGAGCAGCTAATGAATGCGAGACCATCAACTGTGAAGAGGTGTTGAAATTGCAAGGGAGAGCAAAGTGGTTCTAAGAGAATCCTTTTCCTCAAGGATTAAAAGGTTTTACTATTAAGCCTATCAAAAGACCTATCATTGCTTTTGTACCATAAAAGTTAAGTAACAGTTGTCCTTTAAGAGATCTCACACAATGAGATATGTATCTGTGTGCTGCTCTATTTTTAATTCATAATTTAAATCCCTACAAGCCATGAGGAAAGATACATTCTAAAAACAGACAATAAATTAAAAATAATTAGTCCACGATTAACAGCTGACTTCACTAGATCAATGTCTATTCACAATATACCTGGCAGGGTATACTGTTGCTTTTGCTAGAGCGGCTTTCTTGCTTTTTAATTTGTTGCTTTTTCATAGTGTTTCTGAATACTACTGAGTGATAAAAATAATAAAAGCAGATAAATACAAAMAATAAAGTTTTCAAATAACCCAATTTTACAAGTATCAAAAATAAATAACTTATGAATGAAATGAGATGTTTTAGTATTCCATGTTATGCTTATATCTTTTAACAAATGAAAAGTGTAAAAGAAAACAAAGCCATTTCCTCAAGATTCCCTAAAAATATATCGTTAATGAGAAACTAATTAAAGTTAGTATATACAGTTTTACCTTTTATGCTACTTCAGCACGAAAAGCAACCTATTGCATTTTCATGAATCAGAACAAAACTCAGATATCTTGCTTTCATTCTTGTTAAAGTCTTTATTCTTTAACGTGTTACATTTTCCTTTTAAGTGTTCCTTCTCTTTTCTTTTTGAATCAAGCTGTTGTGCCTGTGCTTTTATGTAAATCGCTCTAAGTAATATATGTTGAGTTTTCAGAGACCATTTGGTTAGAGCCTAATAGCCTCTCCTGGGAGCTGACACCAACTTCCAGCAGCAGGTCCAACACTCCAGATTAGAATAATAAAACACATGCTGCTGCAGCTTCAAAAAAAATGCAAGTCTGTCTGTATCAAGCCAAAGAATGATGTTTTGAGACGTCACAGATGCCTTGTCCCCTAGATACAGCTTTCCTTTGTTTTACGTAAAAAAATACATCCAGTAACAGCTTTTTCCCCCTCTTCTGAACAGATGCAATATGTCCTTACAAAGACAGATGCAGATACCACATCTCTTCTTGTCCTTATAATTATGCAATGTTCCTTTTTTAACTAAAATAGAAAGCTAGTATTTTTAATTTTCACATTGAACTGAAGTAACTTTACACAATGTGTCATTTTTTCCTGTTTTGAATTTTTTTAATCTTTTTTTCTCTATGCAAGTGTCAGATTCTTCAGATTATTTGCATAGACTAGATAAATATAATGAAATTTGCATATAGAAAAACATGGACTTAGAAAGAGGCTGGTATTTATTCAAAAAAATAGCACTGTGTTAGGGTACATGTCAAATGTAAGAATAATTACATATACATACTTCCCCCTTGTAATTCACTATTCTTCATTACTGTGTTCCAAATAGGAATCCCAGGTAAATTAAAACTTGTCTTATTTGACCTATTTGGCAATCTATTGCATGCTTTTTTACACTATTCTGAAAAATGAACAGTTCCTGTTAGTATTTATGCATCAAGAATCAAAGTCTCCTATTTCTTTCTCTGACATTCAACAACACTATCCCTTGCAGAAAGAAAACCAATAGTTTTACTAATTTATAAGCACCATGCAGACCCAAGCAGTCTAGAGAGAAATATCTCTATAAGTTGGGAAGAGGGAAAAAAACAAAACAAACATACACACACATAAGAAAGCTTCCACAAGGATTTTGATTAAACCTGAGACAAAAAAAAAAAAAAAAAAAAAAAAAAGGAAGATTTAAAACATTCCCAATACTCACTGAAAGCAGCCACTGCAAGAGCCAGTGTGACAATAATGGAGACCCAGGAAACCCACAACGCCTTCTTTCTGTAGCTTTGAGCTTCATGAGGTTTTAGCCTTGTACTGCTTTCTAGTAAACCTGACAAGCAATAAGCAAAGAAGTATGAACAATATATTGCTCTTTTTAAAAACACGCCTGTTTTAGTTCAGACTTAGATCAGATGTACACATTCTGCATTCCATACAGAATTTACACACTCAAATCCTGGTCACATTATTAAAATTGTGCGAATGCAGCCCTCAGGAATAGGTGAGTAAGGAAGGAGAGCGTACTCAGAAAGTAAGACCTGCACCTCAGTCACCTGTAAGAGCACTGCAATTGCAGGGTAACTATGCAAAATACACATCACTAAAATTTTCCATCTATATATCCACACAAGAAAGGGCTCAGTGTCACGTTCATTGTTCTCCAYAGCAAAGCCGATAAGCATATTTCAGGATCCTGGAACAAAACTGACATAGCAAAAAAACTTTGTTACCAGTCTCCAAGAAGTTTCTAGTACACATAGTGAGCACATATGAAGAATTTATGTGGAAGCAGACATACTTGCGAATCAAAGCTATCACAGACGGAAAAAAAGCCTGTTGAGCTTGGTATACATCCCTATGAGGAAGTTGTGAAGAAATGAAGAACTAATTGCCATTAACACAAGGGAATCAGGATTGTTTGGGTTTTTTTTCTTCAGTGTTTTCAATCCTAAATTGCAGAGAAGAATCCAAGTCAAAAATAAGGAAGACAGTAATTCTGTCAGTATTCTTTGGTTCTCATTCTCCCACTCTTGAGTCTTAAGTCACGTTTGAAAATATATTCATAATTTAATCACCTTTTGTTCATCATATCTATATTCTTTTGTTACAACAGTCATTTAGCTTAAAACATAAAAATACAATTTTTTTCATCAGCAATATCTGACTCAAATCTTTATAGCTGGAGAGAGAAGGCTCAATGGCTTTTAACTTTGTTAACGAATCACTCCAGAAACCGTGGGTGGTTAGTCTTAGATGATTATCACTTTTCAGAGGACAACTTGCCTTCCCTAAGTGCGTAAAACTGGGGCATTGGTTCAATAGTATAATCTTTCAGTAGCTGCAGACATTTGTCTAATGTCTTAGACAAATGGTTGAGAACAAGGACTCTGGCAGATTGTCAGATGCAAATTAAAACATAACAGATGATGCTGTCACCATCCTCACCTTCCCAASTTTTATCTCTAACCTCTCCAATGGCTAGTGCCACTTTGAAAGCAGGAATACCTCATCTGGTTTTAAGTGTATCCCTGAATCCACACCATACTTATCACCATTTATTAATGTTTAAAAATCTTAATTTCAAATGACTATAATATTCTGGCAGAAGATTGGAATGGTTCTGGAATAAATTCACAGGTGGATCAGACATCTCTGCTTCATGAGTAGTAACTCATCAGTACAAAGGTAGGCATCCCAGAACGGTACCAATATGGCCATCATTTTTTCCTGCCCCTTCAAGTCTATCAGAATCATTTAATCTCAGCATAACCAGTAGGATCCGTTCTCTTGGGAAACGATCTTTTTGCCCTTTTCACCACAATTTCTTCACCTGTAAATCTTCATGATAATTTGAAAAGCTGCAATGAGAATATAATGCCTGTAGCAGGCCTTTTTTAATGTATATTATATTTTTGTGCTACACCTCTTTACGAATAGAATAGATTTTGCATACTTGCATGCAAGAGAATTACTAAATCATATATTGAAATGATGCCTGTTTCTTAGTACGTGCATTCTTTGGTATGTTTAATGCATGAAAACCACCAGACTGACAGCTCTGAGGCCTCCAAATTCTCTACTTAAGTATTGCAGAGCCGTGTCTCACATAACCTGCTTTCATTTGTGTACAGAAATATATATTCATTCAGTGTTTAACCTGTCTTCTGACACTACCTATAATTGTGCATAGTTTAATTGATGYCTGGAGGAAAACATCTAACAATAGATCAAGAAATGTGGCAGAGATTTCTAGTGATATTACCAAGGAGAAAACACATCTCATGTTTCGTGCATTTTCTTCCTCCACCCCTCCCCCCCATCCCAAGGGTCTTAAATTAGTCCCAAATCCTGCTGGAATGTAAAGGAAAGCAGGTTTCCTTAGACAATTTTGATCCTCAAGACTTCAAAACTGATGTAAACATGGAATAACCATTGCTGCCTGTTTTTTCTTTCTTTCTTTCTTTCAAGACATCCTACGAAAAAATCATGGCTACTGTTCCTAGCTCGCTGTTCCCTAGAAAAACCAACAAAGACAATTGATATTTACAAATCAAATAACATCCTAATTAAATTAAGAGAAGAAAAATAAGATGTTCAGCTAGTCCTGCACTGGTAATTACTATTCACATGTCAAGCACAGGTCCTGTAGGACAGAGATCATTATAAAACAGCCCTGCAATCCTTATAAAACCAAACCACTTCTGCTGTGTGTATGTGTGTGTGTGCATGCGCGCACACGCACATCTTGCTCTTGCTCAAAATGGCTGGCATATTCTAGTCATCAGAAATGTGATTCCTTCCTTCTTTTAAAAAGTAATTCCAATATATTTTCTGTATTAACAGTTTTCACTCCTGAGATCATAATATTCTTAGGAGAGTCCTTAGAGGCACCTCACAAAAATACAAACTCAATCATAACTACCATACCCACAGCATGAAAAATTTTAGAAGCAACATCAGCACAATCATTTGCATGCAACAACACAGTTCACAAGATAAGCCTCTATATTTTTCCACTGACCATAACAAAATACATTTTAAGCATCTATAAAGGCTGAAAGTATAACCTAGTATAACCTGATAGTTTCAGTATAACCTGCATTGCTACAAAAATGAAAAGCTAATTTCTCCTGGTAAGATCTCTCTGTCCCCAAATTAATATACTGAGTAATTTTATTACCAATAATTTAACAATTGGATATCCTTGAGAGAAAAAAAAAAGAACTGGTTAAATCCACTGGGTTTTTAATTTATATTTCAGTACCTTCACATATTAACAGATTTTCTAAAAAAAAAAAAAGATGCCTAGCAGTTGCAGAACACAAGCTGGGCATATTTGTAAAGTGATTCTAGGATATTCTTTACCATATGCTGACTTACCAGAAGTATTTTTCTATTTGGCTAAGAGATCACTTTAAAATGTCAAGTTAGAATTTGTGGAAGAGGTGGGGCCAATAGGAAAAAATGTTCAACTGAGATGTTAATTCAAGGGCCCAACACAAAACAAACTTATTTTGGAGCTGACTCTTAAAGACTAAATATCTTCTTCCAAAATTTTAGGTTAATTTTTATTTTTAGCAGACACTGAAGTATCATCTCTATAACTGTGTCTGCCATGATTCATTGGAAATGAACATAAGGAAAAGTGCAAGCTAAAAGGACAACCTTTTAAAAAGGAGATAGAACAGTATTATCACTGGGGACAACTGGCAAAAAGTATACTGGAACTTCTAGAAGGACTGAGAAATATGGTACACGGATTTCAGGGCAATACAAATCAGACAGAAACTGTTACCATACATGTGGGACAAACAACAAACTGTTACATGTGGGAAGGCTAAAAGAAAAGAGTGCAATAGCCCTAAAAGAATGTAAAGGCAGGGAAGGCAATGGGAATCAGCAGCCTTAGTCCCTTCTCCCTCCTAGAAAGGAGCACATCAGAGGTTCTCTCAATGGAATTAACTTTAGTACCCAACAGGACAAGTTTTAACTTGTGCTCTGTCATACTGGCCACAAATTAAAAATTTTGGTAATTGAATTTCCATATTTGGATCACACTCAAAATTTTTGGTTCTAATTACTTAAAAGAAAACTGAAGCTGTAAATTGCCCTCAGCCAAGGTGTCTGTGATTTGCCATTGGCTTTGATAATAAATGGGACGGTCCCAATCCCAATATGGCTCAAACTTGTCAGGAAAAATAATGGCTGTTCTTTCCCTTCCATTTTCCAGGATTTCTAGGCCTTCTAGTATTCCTTCTCCATCATGTCTAGGATTTCTGACCAAACACAGGAATATAGGAAGCTAGAGGATATGAAGGTTTTGTGTGGATAAGATAGAAATTGAAAAGGGATTGAGTGCACTGGGGTGGTGAAGGGAACAAGAGAGAGGAAAAAAATGTAACAAAGACGATAAGAAAAAACATGAAAAGAGATGAAGTGCATGGAACAGGATATCAGAGGCATTACGATAGAGACAGGACAATGAGGAGTGATAAAATGGCAGCTGCCTTTATCCACTGATAAGGGCTAGGTGAGAAGTGCCTTCCACACCTAAATAAGTGTGGTTAAGATTTTTTTTACAGCAGGCAGCTATTAAAGCAGGCAGCTTTCCATTTTCTGGATAGGCATTTACACAAATAAAATAATGATCTGAGGTGCATTAATATGGCAGGGAAAGGGAGACAGGGGRTCGTGCAGGTGTCCTGATTTTACTGCCTGCAGATGGCAAGATGTGCTGCGTGGCAGCAACGAAATGCCCCGACYGTGCTCTGGAGTATCACATAACGCTGCTGCAAGGGGCTTGGCACGCCCCGAGCGACTGGTAAACTTAAAGATTTCACCACTTTCTTCGGGTCTTTTCCGTAGTCCCTCTGGGGCCCCAAGGAGCAGCTATCGCCTCTGCACAGCCCGGTCCCGGCTCCGGCTGGGCCCCGCAGCAGCGCCATGTGCCGCCTACCGGCGCCCGCTCTCCGCCGAGGAGAGCAAGTTTCCGAGCGAGGTGGGAAGAGCCGCGGAGAGACTTTATGGAAATATTTTAGAAGTGTTGTGGGGTGCTCGCACATGAGCTAAAAAGGGAAAGCTGCGGGGCGGGGAGCTGTTAAGCGAGCGCTCGCGTGGGGAGCAGCGGCGCGGGCTGAGGTGCAGCCGGGGGACACGGGGCAGTTTGTGGGGGGCAGTCAGAAGGGCAGGGGTTCAGTGAGGGGATGGAGAAGGGCTAGATTGGAGTAGGCGAGAAAGGTCGCTGGGGAAGAACGAGAAGGAAGGTAGGGCTGCAGGAGGGAAAGACGTGAGGCAGCTGCATGGATGATGCGGGAATAACTAACCAGGGTAGGATAAAGGAGGAGGGTTGTTCGGTGCYTAGGGGAGGAGGAGAGGCTATGGAGATGGCACAGTAAAGGGGCATGGGGGGCAAGGGACAGCCTGGCGCTCACCTCTGTCCTCCAGCCCTTCGCTGAACTGCCCGCTGTCGTCGATTCGCAGCTGCTGCTGCTGCTGTTCCCGCTCCCGGGAGGGCTGGGGCGGGCTGGTCCCGGGGGGCTGCACGATAGCGGGGTCCGGAGTGCTGTCCAGGGCGGCTGCGGGCGGCTCCATGTCTCGCGAASCGGCAGGAAACGGCTGGCGGCGGCAAGCGGAGCGAGGAGCGAGCGGAGCATCMAGCCCGGGTGCGAGCCCGGGGAGAGGAGGAGACTCGCCTCAGAGCATCAGGGAGACAGGCACGGGCGGCAAACAAACTCCGCCGGCAGCTCCCCGCCGCCAGCCGCGCCGCCGCCTCATCACTAACCTCGCAGCCGCCGAGGAGGGAGGGCAGGTGGGAGAGCAGAGCCGCCTCCCCCGCGCTGCCCTTCCTTCCCTTCGCTTCTCCTCCCCGCCCCGCCAGGAGACACCTCAGCCGGCGGGCGGCTCGTCCCCATGAGGAGGAGCGGGAGCGAGGGGAGCCGCTCTGCCCGTCCCGCCGTTGCGGGGCTCAGAGAGCACGGGAAGGTGCCGGAGAACCCCCTGCTGTGCAGGCTCTGGCCGGGCGACGAGCTGCCCTCGCCTCAGGCGGGAGCGGGTGGCGGTTGGCGCCGGCCGTTGGCGGTTGGCGCCGGCCGTTGACCGTTGGCGCCGGCCGCGCGTGCCCCCTCTCCCGAGGAGCAACCGGCTCCTAAGGGCGCTGAGGTGCCGGGCCTGTGGAACAAGGCCCCGGCCTCCCCACACAGGTGAAGATGGGCAGCGCTCTGGCTTTCTGCAGGGTTTGCTCACCCTCATCCCAGCATAGCTGTTTCCCGGAGTTCCCACACCCCCAGCGCTGGCATTTTGTTACCTCTGGTTTTACCCGTTTGCCCAAAACACTGCCCGAAAACCTRCAGCAATCTCCTGCTCGCCATGAGATTGGAGCTGGCAACCTCCTCGTGTTGAGCCATGGGCTCAGTTTATGAGTCTGCCATTACCAGTGCTGGCTAAAAATACAGGAAAAATAACATTAARGGAGAACAAACAGGAAAATTTTACCTGGGCACAGTAAGTCTATGCCAGAACTCTTATTCTKCTTTGCCACTGATTTCTAATGGCCAGAGTGCAAATAATAAAGCTTTCCTATGTATGATTCAGCCTCCCAGTTGTGTGCTGACTGGCATGTAGATAATTTTGCAAAATCTCCACTGTGTTTTGACTTGAGCATGAGAAATTATCAGAAGATAATTGAAGTCCTTAAATGATACAGAAGGATTTATATATATATATGTATATTATCCTCATTTACATTATCTAAAAATCAGGCTGTCTTTCTACAACAAATTAGCACATTTGGAGMCTATGGAAAGGCCAGTAGGAAATGAATATTTATGCATATATTATAGCATTTTATTAGCTATTGGAGTCTTGCTGATGTCAGCCTAACAGAGAAAAGCCTGTAGTGGTTCAGTAATACCTATTTGGGAATGTTTAGTGAAACATTACTGTTAAAATGGCCTAAACTTAGAAAATACTTCTAAATCCTGTATACTAGTCTTCAGAATCTTTTCAGCTGTGTTCTAAAATGCCAATGTTTAAAATGTTTTAAAATGTTAAATACATTGGGAAAATTAAACGTGAGTAAACATTAAGGTTTGTGACATTAGCTAACATTTCGGAAACTGATTGGCATTCTGGTAATCTTGTGGATAGAGATAGATATTGTGGTGGGAAAAATTGATGTTTGTCTCCTAATTTTGTGATTCCTTTGTGTATAATCTGTGTATACATACTCTATTTTATATAAATGTAAAAACATCAGCATGTCTCTTGATTTCATTTTTACCTTGAGCTTTTCTACTATTCTTTGAAGCATTAGCACTGATATTATTCATTCTCTTGGTAAAATCAATGCTAATATGATATATAATATAATAATACCTGAATTATTTTCATTTACCTCAGGAAATAGATATTACAAAGTGACTATTTGATGTTAATCTCAAAATAAGTTCTCCTATGCATGAACTAACTAACTAACTAACTAGAGTTGCTTTGAGGGAAGTGATCTTTTTTGTTGTTTGTCTTGTATTGTTTTGCTTTCAGGTTGAGTTCGGCAGCTTTCTTGTTTGTTTTTGGAAACAGGTAGCCTTAAATATGGTTATTTTCCTTACGGTTTGCATATTAACCTGCAAGATATGAGAGAAAACCTGTATGTGGGAAAACTGTATGTGCATTAATGTGACATAYGACAGAAAAGCAGAAAAGACACATCAGTTGTTACTTGCTGTAAATAATAGACTGTAATGTCACTCTACATCATGTGAAAAGTGTTGGTAAAGTGAGAATTTTTAAATGGGTAGAACCAGTTTTGTAACCTGGTGAGACATAAGGGGCTGGTGACAGAATCACTTTCAAGGATCTGACAGGAGTAGAGAAATGTTTTGTGAGTCAGTTTAGGGAAAGTTTCAGGGGTGTTTCTTAGAGTGTTTCTAGTGCAAGACATGAAAAGCCCACTGAAATTGCTGCAGCAAATGTGATCCTCCCTAATGAAATTACTACAGGAACACTTCTCTAGATTTTGTCATTTTCTAATCTGTTCTTATTGTACCTTTGTTTTTCTTCTTCCACAGAATGGAGGAAAGAGATCAGAGTTCAAAATAACATTATGGGATCATGAAGCATTGCAAGATGGGAGAAATGCATCAAAACATGTGTTTCAGGTGGGATTAAGAAGACAACAAATTGAGCAGGTAGCTTTTTTGCATGATGCAGGCAAATCTTGATTTCTTATGCTGCCAGCATCTGTCCACACACCGTTGTTGGAGATGATATTGACCCCCCCTTCAAACAAAGAAACAAAAAAAGAATCTGCCATTTTCTGCTTTTTGCAGAACTTCATTTGCAAGTGGAACTGCCTGYGATTTCTTAGTATTTTGGCTCCCAAAACAAGGCAATTGCAAGTAGAATGGAGTTCACTTAAGCTGTAGCACCTGAGCAGTGAACCAAGGACGATGGAGAAAACTTCTGTTTTCCTTCACCTCTGTTGTCTGTGGTCTGTTTTCCATTTGATTATTTGTAGAGCTTCATTCTTTGCCATTGCCTTTCCTTTTTCCTTCTACTGAGCAGATGAAAAATATCTATCAGGTTGTGATTCATTCTCCAGGTCCACTCCAATTCTCAGCAAAGGCAGAGAAATATCTTCAGGTATGTTTCATGAATGTTTTATTTGGTCCATTATTTCGTTCTTTCCAAGGTAGATGTTTTCCTCGGGGACTAAGCAATGTTTTGGCAGTAGGGGGGCCTATTTTGCAGAGTTGRTCACTTTATTTCACTCAAAATTATTCCCCTATTACCAGAAGGATTTATTACAACATAGCAAGGAGTACCATAGTGCAAAAACGCAGAAAAAATGTGATGCTATTACATTGTATAAATTAATCAGTGTCACTCAGCTGAGTGACAATGACAAAACATGTGCAAGTCCTTCAGTCAGAGAATGGTCACTGTGTGAATGCAGAACTCGCAGTATTCCCCTTCAGTCTGGGTGGAGTTGAAATAAAATCCATTTTCTCAGATGTGTTAGTGTTGTGTTCATTTGTCATTCTAGAAACTAGAGCATTGCATGCATTTTGGACTTCTTATATATTTTTTTAACACTACTGGGTGGAATGTGAATGTTTTCACCTGAATTAGCAGAATAGTGGGTTGTGTTTCATACACATCCTAAATGAGGAAAAGAAAAATGCTGCCTTTTTCTGGTAGCAAAATACTGTATATGTCACTAGCATTGTAATGAAGTATCAAGAGTGCTAGTGCAAGCCAGGATGGTTTGTTAATTTGGTTTATCAGWGCCCTTGAGCTGACATTTAGAAGATGTTTGCTTCTTTCTTTCATAGGAAGCAAGAGGTAATGGTAATCCCACGCAGCCTCAAAAGACACACATCTGAAACGTGCACTAAGTTCAATTCCAAATGTATGGGCAGACAACCACCCTGTAAAGATCACTGCTCTAGGTAATATTAGCTAATAAAAGAGCTTGTCCTATGCTGTATGAAAAATGTAATGTTTTAAAGTGGATATTTGACCTGATGCATCAAAAATAATCTAAAAAATTAGGAGTCGACTAGTAATGCCTACCTTGAAGGTAAGGATATTATGAGAAAATGGTCTAGTTGCATTTAACTATGATACTTTTACAGATCAGAAAATAGATTTAATGTTTTAAAGGCAGTAGCAGCCAATCCACAGGTACTTCCTCTCCCAGTCTTTCAAACTATAGTTTGCAACTTGAATTAAAATCTTCTTCCTTGACATCTAGTGTCATCAGCAGGACAAAAGAATGCATCTTATTTCCCTTGCAGTATTTTTTTTCGAAAAGATTGTATATAAGGAGGGAATTATTTTTTTATTATTCTACAGCAAACTAATGATACCTATGTTACTTCTACTCTCCTGGTAAATAAAGATTCCACAGCTCACTTTTGCTTTTAGTTGTCTCATAAACTGGCTGATATGATAGTATTATGTATTGTTTTGATTAGCTAATTTACCTTGATAACGAGTTAGATAAAATTGTGTCCTTATTGTTACCCTTTTCTTATTCCAATTAAATTATAACTATTAAACTGTGCATTGCTGCTGAAATATTTCAAATATTTGAATATTGAAATATTTGAAATAGAATGGTAGCTACAGCCAGAAAGAATATTTTGCAAAATGTGTTTTCTAATAACTAGGAAACTACAAATGTGTGTCAAGTCTTTATTTATTTRTTTATTTTTAAGCATGTGCTCAAACAGAGATTTGACACTTGAAATCATTTAATTCTTTTAGGTTTTTGGTGAACATCAAGTTCTGAAGTACCTAGTGGAATATATTTTCCAACTATATTTTTATGGTTTTTTTTGTTTTGTTTTGTTGTTGTTTTGCTGATTTTCCCAAGTCTGGCATGATTATAACTATCAATTTGGTTTGAGTATTTGCTTTTAATTTCAGACACTGTTGAGGACATCGTGAAATTCTTTAGATACATTTGGTTAAGGAAAATAATGTCACTAGCATAGAAAACAATTTAAATAGGTTTCAGACTGGGGGGCAGATTTTTTTTTAATTATATTTGTTGGTTTTCATCCTCTCAGACAAAAGTTTCAGTGGGCAATGGGAAAACCGG